TAGACGCGTTTTGGGGTGGCATGCGTGCCATTGCCAGAAACAAATCCGTGAGGGCTGCGGCCAAAGCGGACAATATCTACATGCGGGTTCTTGGGCTGTTACATTGGTATCAGAGCCGGTTCCCAGGCCGGTGTGCCAGCGAGGGCGCTGGACTCCCTTGAGGGGGGGTGGATATAGTCCCACATCGGTTAGGAAGGAGAACGAAGCATGCCATATATATGGGTGTGGATACCTTCCTTGTGTAGACGCGTTTTGGGGTGGCATGCGTGCCATTGCCAGAAACAAAACCGTGAGGGCTGCGGCCAAAGCGGACAATATCTACATGCGGGTTCTTGGGCTGTTACACCAAAGCTTGCTCCAGTATCGCGGCCCGGCTTGCATTAAGAGGGGTGTAATTGGAGTATTTGGGACCTCGCATGGGTCGGTCCCGAAGAGCTATTTCTTTGCCTCGCCCCCTGTATGTCTGTTCGATTGGTTTCTCAAGCTTGGCCGACTGGTCAGCCCGGGCCTGATTTCGAAATTCGGCCAACTCCTCCATTTGCATATATTTATCCCCTCTCCTGCGCAGGTCATTCATATCTGAAGGAGGTTTCTTGCATAGGCTATTGACGAATGGCCCTGGTTTTAAAGCCGTCGTCAGGTGATGAAGTGCTACCGCCGGGTTAAGATCTAGGATTTCCAAGGCTGTCTTGTTGAACCGGTCCATGAAAGTTCGAAGCGATTCTTTCTTATCTTGCCGAAGGCTAACCAACGACAAAGATGTCAAGCTATGAGGACGGCTTGTTGCAAACTGAACTGTGAATTGAGATGACAGAGTATTGAATGAGTCGATCGAGTTAGGGGGTAGCCGAGTGAACCAGCTCAACGCCCTACCCTTGAGGGATGTGGGGAAAATGCGACACAATGCAGCATCATCCGTAGTACTCAGGGTTACCTGCGTAAGAAAAACATCAAGATGTTCATCAAGATCAGTGGTACCATCATACTTATCAATGGGTAAAGATTTTCAATTGTCCAAAAGAGAGAGCTGCATTATGGAGGGGGTGAAAGGGTGTCGGTGTGAGCCGATAGTTGTCGGCAGAGGCCGTGGTTCGGGAGCTCGCACTGACCCACACCCAAGTTCCCAACAAAATACTAGCGGCGCAGTACAAGCCGAGATAAGCCAAGAGACAGAGTCGGCTCCCTTACGGGGAGTAATCAACACAATTGCGGGTGGTTTTGCGGGACCAGCAGCTCGGCTCCAAGAAGACACCTGCGAAGCATCAACTGCGTCCACTCTACCACCTCGGCCCCGCATCAAAGCTCACCGCCGATCTCTTTTTCTGACGAGGACTACGCTGGCGTCAACCCTAACCAAGATGACCCCATGGTCATCGTCGTAGAAATAGCCAACTGGGAGGTGTAGAAAGCACTCATCGACCAGGGGAGCTCGGCCGACGTCCTGTACTGGCCGACGTTCCTCAAACTAGACGTCCCCCACTCTCTCATACAACCTCACACTGAGCTCCTAGTCGGCTTCGCAGGAGAGCGAATTCACACTCGAGGGTACATAGACTTACTGACAACTTTCGGAACACCACCGGATACAAGGCGGGTCATGGTCCGGTACCTCCTCGTGGAAGCCAACACTTCCTACAACATCATCATCGGAAGGCCCACCTTAAACCAACTCGAAGAGGTAGTGTCAACCTCACACCTCACCATGAAGTTCCCTGGCAAGGACGGTAAAATCATCTCCGTCAAGGCTAATCAGAAAATGGCTCGGCAATGCTATGCCGAGAGTCTGAAGGTCTCCTCGCCCAGCAAGCAAAGCAAGGGATCCCCCCACCACAACTTCTTAAGTTTCATTTCTTTTTTCCGTATGAACAAAGTTGTGCACTCTTTTCCCGCCCCAGTCTTTGACTGAGAGGGTTTTTAACGAGGCACACAGGCATAATAAATAAAATTACTCATTTTGCTCAATCCATACTCTTATCTTTCTACTTATATAAAGGACGAAAACGAACCTTAAACGCACAAATGCAAATTCCGAGGTCGAATACGAACCTCAACACTCTCGCTAAAGGTTGAGTT